AAAAAAAAAAAAAAAAAAAAAAAAAAAAAAAAAAAAAAAAAAAAAAAAAAAAAAAAAAAAAAAAAAAAACATTTGATTACTTGATTAAACCTCAAGCATTGAAGTTTTGAGTGTGTGTGGGTATAGAAACAAAGGTGTTAATTCAAGTCGATAATTTTTTTTAAAAACAAACAGTGAGGAAGAGGATACATCCAAAACTAGCTGAAGGGGTTAGAATGTCAACAGTGGATAGTGTCAAATAAGGCATCTCAATATATGGCGATTCCTTTCCAACCCAACAGTGCAAAAACAGCTGCCACCAACAACTTGTAAAAATCTCCGTTTCATTGATAAAACTTAATCCAAAATATGCTTTGCACGACAAAATTTCACATCAAGGAGGGATTGCATTATTCCAAAAGTTAAAGCTTGAGAAGAGAGGTTAAACAAATCCCAACAAAGTTTTCTTTCTTCGTTCAAAAGAACCCAACAAAAGTTTCTAAAATTCTTGAAAGAAAGAGATATTTGTCTTTGGACTTTGGGAGTATTGATTTGAGTAGTCATTTATTTTGTTGGAAAAAAGTCTCACATAATAGGGGGTGGGGTGTTCAGGTCATGTAGTTTCTGCTTTGGTCTTCAAATGGGCGTGGAGGAATGTTGTTGGTATTTACTTATTGTGAATACTCGTGGGGAGGATAATATTGCTGGTTTATGAACAATCAGTAGAAGCTTAAATCACCATTCTTTGAATTTATGGTTGGTTGTAGGAAAGTTTTTTAAGAACGTCTCTCTATCAAAATCGGCAGTGGGTTCAATTCAACATAAGCTGTTGGCTCCATCCTCCTCTGGAACTGTTTTCCAACTAGAAATTTGCAATGGTCTATGACTATTTGAATCAGGCTAGTAATAATTGGAGGATTACTTCGGCAAGACCTTTCTATAATTAGGAAATGCAAGGGCTTGCTTCATTATTACATCTGAATAAAAATGTACAACTTAAGCAGTAGATAGACAAACTTATGCAGAATTATTAAAGTTATAAACCTTCATATCAGTAAGATATATTAGAGTTAGTATCTTCCACCAGGTCATTACCTTGCTATCCCACATTTTTGTCGAGTGTACTATTCTCTGATTTTATCACAACAAAGAAGTCTCAGGTAGTTTGTCATTAATGGTTCATCATCTGCTCATCAATTCTAAATCTTCTTTGGGATCTTCTACTTTCAAGTTAATTACAAAATTATTTTGGGAAAAGCTTCCAATCTATCGTTGGTATGGTTGAACAAGAATGAGATAGAGAAGGCCCCTAAGTTATCAATGCACCAATCTCTAGTGTCCCCTGTTCATAGGTTGTCAATCATCAATCAAAGGAAGTAAATGAATTTGTTCTTCCGCTCCTCATAACTAGGCCTTTTTCTTTTTGAAAAACATCAAGAACATATTATTGCTCCTGTTAGAGGTATTTCTTTCTAGAGCAACAAGTTATTGTATATCAAAGCATGGGCTCTTAACAATGATGGTAAATTTCCTGTTAAGTCTATTAACCTATCAGCAAAGCCGATTTGGCCTTGTTCTATTGCCAAATTACCTCCTTTCTCCAAGTTGATGTGCTTAGTTCTGAGAGCCACTGCCTCATCTTTTTCCAGTGTCCTGTTACTCATGCTTGTTGGGCAAAGCTCCTCAAAAACCTTTGACTAACTGGTCTTTTCACTTCTTTTATGAGGATTCAGTTCTCCAACTCCTATTTGGCCCCAACCGAAAAGATATTGCTAGAGTTTTGTGGAATAACGTGGCTTTCATTATTAGGACAGAGAAATAAGATAAAGTTTCATCTTTGGGCACGAAGTCACAAATGGTTACACACCTATGATAGGCTTCAGAGGAGATGTCCTTGGTATAATTGAAAATCACAGAACCATATTATTATTCACTGTCCCTACTCTTGGAAGAGAAGTTTTTTTCCACATTCTAATTTGTTGGTTTTAAGTGGTATTCCCATTTTTTTCTCCCTCTTTAGAGCTCCGTGTTCAGTTTGTAAAAGATTGAAAAAAAATTATGAGGGACTTTCTGTGTAGAGGGGTGGAGGAAGGTCATGGGACGCTTCTTATTAATGGGAAGATCCCTGGGAAGCCCATGCACTTAGGTGGACTGGGGCTAGGGAATTTAAGGGCTCATAATTAGGGGTTATTGGCAAAATGATTATGGCGTTTTCTCCTTGAGTCCATTTCCCTGTGGTTATCGTAACTATTTGCTTGGGCTCATAATGTCTCTCTTTGGGCATGGGTGTTGAGAACCTTTATTGTAACTATTTGCTTGGTCTTATTTTGTTTAATTGGACTTCCCTTTTCTCTTGAATTCTCCTTTTGTGGTCTTTGTTTTTTGTATGCCCTTGTATTGTTTCATTGTTTCATTTTTTCTCGATGAAAGTTGGTCTTTTATTAAAAAAAAAGAAAATTCATTTCCATTACAAAATAAATTAATAGTTCTGTATATTCGAGTTATCAATGGCATGGTTGTTGTGATGGATGTGGTGATATCTTTTCCCTTATACATGTACGCACATCGTATACTACCCACTCATGTGATCTTGACTTTCTATTTTGAACTTAAAGTTTCTTCTTTTCTTACAGCTCCAAGTGAACAGAGTAATGGTTTCATATATGCAAAAATATTTGGTGGTTTTGCAAATATCAGATCATCGGTAAGATACATGAAAAACATGACCTTTTTTAAATTTAATTTTGTAGTATTAATATATATCTTTTTAATTTTCTAGATCTGTGATCTGGTAAGATATATGAAAAACATGACCGTTTTTTAATTTAATTTTGTAGTATTAATATATATATCTTTTTAATTTTCTAGATCTGTGATCTGGTCGCTATATCCAGGCTACTAAATGCAACTCTAGTCCTCCCTGAGATTCAAGAAAGTAGTCGCGCAAAAGGCATCAGGTATATATTAAGTAATATGCTAGTTATTACCTGTCTTTTCCCCTTAAGCTCCCTATGGTAGTAATCTACATTTTACTGCTTGCACATGTTGTTTGTTCAGTGGCAGATTCAAGAGCTTTTCTTATCTTTACGATGAAGAACAGTTCATATCTTATCTAAAAAATGACGTATTCGTCGTAAAAAGTTTGCCCGATAATTTGAAGGCTTCAAGGAAAAGAAATGAATTCCCCATATTTAAACCCAAAAGTTCAGCCATTCCTAGCTATTATCTTCAGAAAGTTCTTCCAAGCTTGAAGAATGCAAAGGTCATTGGCTTGATTCTTAATGATGGTGGATGCCTGCAGGTAACTTTACTTCCAAGCTTACAAGTTTTGTCTTGATATTAAGATAACCAAATGGTTTAAATTTGTCTGCATTATTTTCCGCCTTTTTGATGTTTAACTTGTCTGCCAATGGTTGGAATTCTAGGGAACTTCAGTATATGCATGATTTCTATTGTAAATTTCAGCACTAGATACCCACCTTAATTAAAACTATAGACCAAAATATACTATCCTTTATAAAGTAAAGATGGAAAGTGGAAAGTAATTTAAAAAAACCCATGTAACTACAGTTCAGTTGGAAGCATGGAATCTGCAGGGTCCCAAGATTTCACACACACACACACACACACACACACACACACACACACACACACACACACACACACACACACACACACACACACACACAAACACACATATTATGAGAAACATAGATTTCTTTTTTTCATTGATGAAATGAAATTACAAAGAAGGCAAACAAAGTGCCAAACTAGTTACGAAAATTACTTCCACCGGACAACAAGAGACGTGAGGTTGTATGATCTAAAAAGAGAAATAATTTCTTACAAAGGAAAAAATCTATTATAAGTGCCAAGCATTCATTCTTTTAACCAATTTCTTACAAAGTCGCTAATTATTCCTCATACTACCATATTTTGTTTTGTATATTTATTAAAAAATTTCCTCCTTTTTTATTTTATTAAATATAGATATATATATTTTTCTTTGCAGTTAGTCCCAAATGAATTTAACCTTTTAGTGCCTTGTACATCTTTAAACACTAAATTGGAGATATAGTACCGAATGTTTCTTCTTTTGCAAAGCTTCGAAAAGGAAATAGAAAAAAAGAATTGTAGGAAAAGTATGAAGTCTCAGGAGGAATACATGGGCATATAGGGGAGATTTGATTACGTGTTCTCCACCTTATCCATTGTTGTTGCCCATTTTCCATCACTATTCAAGAAGCATGGATACTGGTATGAGACAAATACGACATGACATGAACAAAATGGCATGTCATATTTTAAAAATCTAGGACACAAACACGACATGGACATGTTTAATAAAATATATATCATTTTTATAAGAGAGGAAAATTCAAAGTCAACGAGTTTATGCATTTATATGCTTTGATGTATCTCACTCTCTTATTTTTGTCATATATGTATCCAAGTAGTATACTTAACGGGTGTTCAATGCGTTCCTATCAAACGTCGGACTTACTTTGATTTTGTACAACCAAAGTCTAACACATCTATTACACTAACAAGTGTGATACGTGTCGAATAAGTGTCAGACATGGATACGCTAGCCAAACTAAAGTGTTCGTGCTTCTTGGCATTTTATTATCAAAATTTCTTCTAAGATTGGGTGACCAGGTTCTAGAAATGTCCTTATTTCAGAGTTGGTGGTGGATGATTTACTATTTGAAGAGCATACGCCCTTGGGTATCCAACTGATTCCCCTAAATTCATATCCATAGCACCATATCCCACCTTGAAAGCACACACCTATTCTTAATGAGAAAAATTTTTTCATTTCAAAAGCGAACCCCAAACATATCCTTAATCTCTTCTGGGTCTTGGCTTAGTTGGCTAAAGAAAATATGGTAAAGTCTGAATATGAAAAGAAAGACAGATCACATGGTTAAATGCAATTAAAGAAATTTCATAGGCTATATGACTGGAAAGGCATTCTAAAATGAGAAGGAAAGAGAATGGAAGGAGGTTTTTGATTTAGCAAAGTGCCATTACTTCCTTTGGTGCTTTTCTAATACTTCTATAATCATTCTTCTTTTGTATTCAACTTTATTTAAGGTGCTTTCCTATAAGCTCCTCAAGGAAGAAAATAGCTTTTGGTTCATAATCTATCATCACCAATGAAATGTCTTCTTTTATTATTATTTTCTTAAAAAAATCAATTTTTTTCCTGTTAAGTAGCCCGTTGGATGTCACTGAATTATTTTCAGAACGCTAGGAGGTATGAACGTTTAAAACCTTACAAAAAGAGAGCATAATTTGCTTACAATGTTGTAGATGTGGACATGATGATTTTAGGTTCCTCTTCCTTGGATGCTTAATTTGATACCTTAACATGAAGATTTTGTACATACGACCACTTGGTAAACATGATCACTTGTGTTAGCAGTAACACATCCATATTGGTTAATTTGTTGAGTGTATTGTGATTGATTAATTTTTTGGTGGAAGTTTTGTGAGCTTTCCTTATTGGTGCAAATTCCCTACATTTTCTGTTCATGTGCTTTACATTTTCTTCGAATGTATAGACAATATGCATATGGTTGAGGAGTTTCATTTTTTATATTTTCTATCTCCAGTCGGTCCTTCCTTCTGGCATGTCTGAACTCCAGAGGCTCAGATGCAGGGTTGGCTTCCATGCACTTAACTTCCGGCCAGAAGTTCAGATGCTTGGGAAGAAAATAGTTCAAAGGTATCTTCAGACTAGTGTCCTGAAATTTGATTTAATCGCGTTTTTTTGCACTCTACATGTGGCTTATGGTAGATGAGGGAAAAAAAGAAAACTGAGAAGATAATATCTGCATACACATGGCTCCACGTTGCTGTGTAGAATATGATTTAATACTTTAGGGTTACGTGTACACTGGATTCCTGAACTGTACATGCACATGATGAATCTTGACATTTTCTTCTACAATTACAGGTTACGAGCTTGGGGCCAACCATTCTTAGCTTTTCATCCTGGATTAGTTAGAGATACTCTGGCATACCATGGCTGTGCTGAACTCTTTCAGGTAGCTGTTTGAGGCTGTTGTTCTGCATAATAGTTTCAAAATTCAGTGGTTATTGATTCCCAATGAGTTCCATACAATTTATCATTTGAGTAAGTTCTATCGTATTTCTTTAGGATGTGCACACGGAACTCATACAGTATCGTAGGGCGCAGATGATCAAAAAAGGGATTATCAGGGAAGAACTAAGCGTAGATTCCCGCAAACGGAGAGATAATGGTACCTGCCCTTTAATGCCTGAAGAGGTTTGAGCTTGACTATACACATTTTGTATGCAAGTTTTCTATGATTGTGTTATTTATTTGAAATCATTCTTTCTTTTTATGAAAGCACTTGCATTTTAAAATGCAGCCTACTATTGAAGTCAAACCTTCCTGACTGATATTTTGATTACCAAATAAGAGACAAACCAGCTGTAGAAATCCTAAGCTTCCAAGTAAAGATGGTAACCTGATATTTTAATAACTACTCCGAGTTAGTTCAATAGTTGAAATAGTTGAACGTGTAACGACCCAATGTGTTGCAGATGGATCAAACAGGGCCGTTACTAAAAAACAATCGGTTTTGCATTTTGAAAACAAAAAAATGCTTTAAAAAATAAAAACACGCTTGGGGTACTCTTTTAAAAGACATTGAAACGACATCTAGTAAAACAAACAAACAAATTTACTAAAAATTTCAACATAAAAGCATAATCAGTTTAATCACGACCTCCCTAGTTCCCATATACTAAGAGTCCCCTAAAATAAAAACATTAAATGCGGAAGCTATTTTGGAAACATAAATCTCATAATTATTTCATGGTCTGTCTGATAACTATACTCGTCACCCCCACTCCACAGTCTTACCTTTACCTTTACCTGAAAATTATTTTGAAAAAGGATGAGTATTAAAACTATTACATAAGACACTCTTCTGTTGGGCTACATACACCGCAATAACAAGCAAAATCAAGGGACCAATTTCTTTTAAAAATGGGCTCACTCGCTCATGACCTACCTTGAATTGACCATCCATAATGCCAAAAAAAAGTCCTCTGATTCCTCTTACAGAATATAAAACTGAGGCTATCTTTAGTTGCAGCCTACTTCATACTTCTATCTACTTTAATGGAAGTCTTGCTTTCTCATTACAGAATTAATAGTGATCTCGACTGTTCTATGTGTAGAGTTGAGTTTTTTTTTTTGTTTTTTTTGGTGATGCCAAGTAAAAGAAGAGAACTACATCTGAAATGAGAATTATCTTGAGAATATGAAGGTTAGAAATGCTTAAAAGAATGAATATTCACTATCAAAGTTAAGCATGCTTGGTTGAAGCAATTGTAAGTTGTGTGACCAATTAAGAATTTTCCTAAGAAGCATGTGAGTGAGGACAAAGCATGATAAAAGGACCTACATGGGTTTGTTGGGATAATCTTCACTCTTAGAAGTAGTTCAAGTCCAAAAAAATAGGGAATTAGAGGCCAGAACATTGATTTATGCAAGGTGTCATTTTCTTGTGTATCTTGTCCCAATGTAATCACTAACTTATTTATGTTAAAACTTTTGCAGGTCGGGGTTCTCCTTCGGGCAATGGGATATCCTACCAAAACAATTATTTATGTAGCAGGGTCTGAATTGTTTGGTGGTCAGCGCATGCTGATCCCTCTACGTGCCATGTTTAACAATGTGGTTGATCGCACTTCTTTTTGCAACAAGGAGGAGTTGGATTCCTTGTTTGGACCTGAGACCACTCTTCCTCTTGATCTTTACCGACCGCCTCCTTCTAAAAGTAAGCAACAACTGAAAGATGAGTGGAACAAGGCTGGTCCTCGTCCAAGACCTCTTCCTCCACCTCCAGATAGACCTATCTATCGTCATGAAAAAGAAGGATGGTATGGTTGGATTACTGAGACTGATAAAGAACCTGACCCATCACCAATGGATATGAGATTACAAGCCCACCGGTTGCTTTTGGATGCTCTTGATTACATGGTTTGTCTTGAAGCTGATGCATTCTTCCCGGGTTTTAACAATGACGGTAGCAGTTGGCCTGATTTTTCAAGCTTGGTCATGGGACAACGACTGTACGAGAGTTCTTCATCTAGAACGTATCGACCTGACAGGTAGATTAATGATGAACCATCACTCATTAGTTATTAGCTTATGCTTATAATAGGATTTGAACAGTCGAGTAAAAGTTCCTCTTTATTTTCAAATCATATTAGATACGTAAGTTGACACTTGTTGATTAACTTACCATTAATTTTCAAAAGAAATCACTATTTGGGCAAGTTAATTAAGGAGTTGATGACATCCATATATGTTGGGTACATTTAATCTTAGAATATTGGTTAACCTATATATGCTGTAGTTCCCCATCCATTATATCTTGTGATAAATTTAGTATGAAACTTTTCTGACGGGTATCATTGTTGTTAACAGGAAACACCTGGCAAATCTTTTGAACAGTAGCCGTGAAAATTTGTATCATCCGATGCACAACTGGACACTTTTAGTGCAGGAGCATCTCAACAAGAGCTTGGGTGAGGAAGGCCTGGTGAAGCAGGCCATCTTCTCTAAGCCTACGTCGTTTCTCTCACATCCGCTTCCAGAATGCTTCTGTAGAATATCTTCTGTTGAAACTCCTGACCATCTTGTGAAGGAGAACGGAAAAACTGTTTACGGGGACGAAGAGAAGTGCCCTGACTGGATGTCAGAAGGTCGAAAAATCGAATCATTGGACTTGGCCGAGGAAGGGGATAATAAAGGGGATGAGGATATGGAATCATCAGAACAAGCAGAGTCTTATTACAACAGTGGTAAAAGCTATTTGGATAATCTCATCGACCAGGACGAGGAAATGGATCCCAATGACTAAAATCTGGTGAGTAGAAATGATACGATGGTGGTTCGGAAATGAGAAATTTTTTTGTGTAGAGGATAGCAGCGTTTATAGAAAATATAGTACATGCGATTCATGAACATTTTCCTCCAATATTGAAATCATCAAGAAAAGTATAGTTGTATCATTTTTTTTCTTTTCCTTGTCAAAGAAATTTAAAAGTGTGAAGTTGTAGTATGTTCCAAACAAATATTTTCCATATACAAGTAGTATATAATTCTTTACATTTTATAGACATTTCAATAATACAAAAACTATTTTCTTTTGAACTTGGCCAATAAGTTTTTTTTTTTTTTTTTTTTTTTTTTTTTTTTTTTTTTTTTTTTTTTTTTT